GCACAAAATGTTTTTTGGTTTTGTTTTCAAGTACTTTAAAGGAAACAAACTATATTTGTTTAAAACAGAATGATTAGACCAGTATGGACAAGTTATAGTAAATCTACTAAATGAGGGAACTACCTGGCAGTAATTACTAATTTTTCTCAGAACAGTTGTGTTTTTGGGGAATAAACTATAGATAATGAAGAAGTTAACAGTAAGAAACAAATGGTAGAAAAGTGATGGATGTTATACTAAAGGAATATACTTTTTATTTTTCCAATATCTGTGAATCATTGCAACATATGTAATGAAAAGCAGATGCTCTCCTGATGGTTTTATTTATTTATTTTTAGAAGGTTTATTTATGTATGTATTTGAAAGGGAAGGAGGGATGGAGATAGGGAGATCTTCTATGTGCTCGTTTCCCCAAATGGCCACAACAGCCAGAACTGGGCCAAGATGAAGCCAGGAGCCAAGAATGCCATTCTGATCTTCCACATGGATGGCAGAGCACCAAGTGCTTACGCCATTTTCTGCTGCCTTCTCAGGTTCATTAGCAGGAAGCTGGAGCAGAAGTGGACCGGCTGGTACTCGAACTGGTACTTCAGTAAGGGATACTGAGCTGCAAATCCTGCCTTAACTCACTATGCCACAATGCCTGCCCCTCTTCTGATGGTTTTAAGAAGAACATTCAGTTATGAGATAGCCATACATTATCACACACATAACGAAGATAAAAAGAAAGTTAAAGACAAGAGGAAGAGCAAAGGCAGAACACAAATACAGAGAGAGAGCATGGACAGAGGTTCAGAGAAACAACATTAACCAGGACAAAGAGGACAATCTGAATTGATAAATAGTACACGAATAGGCAACACCTTTAAAATGAAAAAACATAAATGAAACAGGTGCAGAATTAATAAGAAATTTTTATGTGAGACTGTACTAACACTAATCAAGAGCATAAACAATTTTATGAAAAATTAAAACAAAACTGATTAAATAAGCAGGATAGTTCAACAGAAAAAAAAGCCATGGAAAACATGAAGAAATATTATATACACAAAATGTTTTTCCTAAAAGCATCTGGATTCATATGTTTTAAGAAATAGATAGTTATTATAACTATTATAACTATAAATAGTTATTATAACTATTCCTAAATATACAACTTTTGAAATCCTTTCTGTTAATTTTATAGTGTTGATATTATTTTGATTAGTTAAAATTCTGATACAGAACTAATAAGTAGACTTATCTAGCTTTGTGGAATTACTAACTATATTTGCATAAATAAACTGGATGGACTAAAAATCCAACACTTGCAATTTAAGTTGTTTAATCTTATGATCTCCTATTTATGATTTTCATTTGAAAATATTGCTATATATAATATTATATATATAAACGTGTTCTACTGATCTTTATGAACATTTAACTTGGGTTTGTCCTAATTTAGTTCTGTGGTCCCTCAAAGTGAATTTTATGTATTCATTTTGGGTATGTGTTAAGTTAGATCAAACCAGGAATGCCTTCAAAGTTGATAAGAATTTGTTCTGGCGTTGCCATGCAGTGGGTTAATATTTCACTTGTGATGATGTCATCCAATGTTGGGGTACTGTTTCCAGTCCTGGCTGCTCCACTTCCAATCCAGCTACCCACTAATGTTCTTAGGAAAGCAGCAAAAGATGGCCAAAGAACTGACAGCCATGTGGGAGACCCTAGATGGAGTATCAGGCTCCTGACTTGTTATGGGCATCTGGGGAGTGAACCAATGGATAGAATATCTCTCTGTCTCTCCCTCCCTCTCTCTATGTCACTTTACCTTTCCCACGTGGGTGCAGGGACCATATTCTGCTACTTTCCCAGGCACATAACAGGGGGCTGGTTTGGAAGTGGAGCAGCCAGTATTTCAACCATCCATCATATGGTATGCCACTGTTGCAGGCCACAGTACTGGCTCTGGTAGTATATGTTTTAAGGGGAAAAGCAAACATGAGAAGGGTACAAGAATGTGCAATTTCGATAGGGCGCTCCAGGAAGTCTTCTCTGAGAAAGTGACTTTTGATTAAAACCTGCAGGAGATGAGAGAAAAGCAGTCTGTTAGAGACAGACTGTCCTAGAGAGAGGTGCAGGGGGTTCAAAGGTCCCTGTTGGATCAGTGTCTTTAAAGACTGTGAAAGAGGCAGCCAGGCTGGGGCACAGTGTGCATGGTGGGGAGGGGATGGGGACAAGGTAAGGGAGTTAACAGGAACCAGGTGACATAGGTCATGGATGGATTTGGGATTTTATGGTGGTTCTCACTCCATATTGAACCCATGAGCAAATCTTCTCAGCACGGAAACATCCAGAATCTGACTACGTTTTACTCCCTGACTGCAACTGCCCTAGTCCAAGCCATCTTCCTTCCCTTGGATTGTGAAGTGACGGCTCACTTATCCCCTTGCTTCTCTACCCATTCCCGCTGCCCTGGTGTATTTACTTCCTGTTTGTTCTGCCTGGAATACTGTGAGGAAGGGGTCCAGGTAGATATCCGGGTGAACAATGTTTTATGAGGTGAAATAGAAAAAAAATGGAAGGAAGAATGAAGTTATGAATTTTCAGTAGAAACAATAAAGTCTTAATTATTGGCATGAAGCAACTTTTCCATTTTCTTTACCAGGATTTTGGCTTTGACAAGCTTATATTTATATCACATTATAAAGTATTATTGGTGATATATTTCATTTACAATTCTCATTGTATGAAATAGTTATACTTGTCCCTAATTTTTAGTTAAGGGAATTTAAATTGATAGGGTTTCTATCAGTCAAGGGTCCCCAGAGAAATACAGCCAATAGAAGATGTTTGTCTATAGAAAGAGGCTATCTTAAGGAATCACCTCATGCAATTATTGAGGCTAGCAACTTGCAGACTTACAATCTGCATGGTGGGTCAGCAGACTGGAGACCAGGGAGGAGCCAGTGTTACAGTTCAAGGCTGAAGGCTGCCTACTGGCAGAATTCCTTCTTGCTAGGGGAGTATCTGTCTTTCCTTCTGTTTGGGCCTTCAATTGACCAAGTGAGGTCCACCCATATTATAGAGGCTATCTGCTCTACTCAGAGGCCACAGATTTAAGTGTTGCTGTGGTTTGTGTTTGTCTCCCGGTTTCATGTGTTTGAAGCTTAATCCCCAAAGTCCTGCGCTCATGGTATTTGGAGGTGCGGCCTTTGGGAGTTACTTAGAATTGGATTAGGTCATGTGGGTGAGGCCTCCAGCATGGCATTAATGGCTTTATAAGAAGAGGGAGAAAGATGTTATTGAGCGTGCGTGCTTTGTCTTAAAATGTGATGTCCTCTGCCATGCCTAATGCAACAAGAAGGCAATTATCATTCATTCAGTGCCTTGCTCTTGAACTCCCCAGCCTTTAGAACTGTGAGTTAAGTAAATCTCTGTTCTGTATCAGTTACCTGGTCTCAGGTATTTTGTTATGGTAACAGAAAATGGACAAGGATAAATCCTAATTTTACCCAAAGATACCTTCACCGAAACTTCCAGAAAAATGTTTGATCCAATATCTGAGTGGCATGGTCCAGTTAAGCAGACAAATAACATTAACAATCACAGAGCTCAAATGACAGGCTCAGCCATTCATCTGGTGTCCTGTGGAGCTGAAATCCAATTCAACTCCATATACTACCTATCCTCCAGCAAATTTGTGACTTGTTAGTATAATCTTTTACAAAGAAGATTGTTTGTACCTGTATTCAATAATCTAGTTATTTCAAATGAGCATCAATGATCAAGTCTTTTTTTTTTTAAGATTCATTTTTTTGAAAGGCAGAGTTACAGAGAGAAAGGGAGAGACACATAGAAAAAGAGATCTTCCACCTACTGGTTCTCTCCCCAAATGGCCTAATCACTGGGGCTGGACCACACCGAAGCCAGGAGCCTGAAACTCCATCTGGGTCTCCCATGTAGGTGGCAGGAATACAAACACTTGGGCCATCTCCTGATACTTTCCCAGGCACATTAATTGGAGCTGGATTGGAAGTGGAGCAGCTGGGTCTTGGCCTGGTGCCCATAGGGTATTCTGACCTCTGTGCTGCATGCTAGCCCAGTTATCAGATTTATATTAGCATTTTGCTCCCGTATCAAACTGAAATATGTGACTGTAGAGAGGTAGTTGAACAAAGTTTGAAGTCACTTGGAACCATGAAAATGTATCATAACATCCTTCCCACACAAAGGTCACAACCCTGATTTATTATCGGGAGAGCACATATTTGAGTTGTTTTTTTAGTAATACTGAAGCTTTTCTACTAGTTCATCCATATTTGTTTTTCAAGGTTTTGAGAAGAACATTTAATACTATGATAGCTGTCTGGGATGAAGGGTCAGTTTGTAGTCATGGATTAGGGAGAAGCAATTCAGTTTACCCTGGAATCTATTCTGTGCTTTTTTATATCATTTGTTCTGGTCTCTAACTTGGTAATTTTTTTTCAAGGCATGTTAATGAGAGGTCGATAAAGAATTTGAATCCAATAGCAGGTGGAGTAGCCAGAAGATGGTAACCCTAAGCATGTTGTTAGAGCCATATTACACCCAATGAAAGGCGATGTGAGGGCCATGTTGTTTTTCTTTTTCTTTTTCTTCACATTTATTTTATTTATTTGAAAGGAAAAGTGATGGAGAGGGAGAAGGAGGAGAGGGAGAGAACTTCCATCTACTAGTTCATTTCCCAAATGGCCACCAACAGCCATGGCTGGGCCAGACTAAAGCCAGGAGCCAGGAATTACATCCTGATCTCCCACATGGGAGCCAGAGGCCCAAGTACTTGGGCCATCTTCTGCTGTTTTCCCCCAGAGAATTGGTGGGGAGCTGGAACAGAAGTGGGATAGAGCAGTTAGACTTGAACTGGCACTCCAATATGGGATGCTGGCACTGTGCCGCAATGTCAGACTTGGGTCAGTCTCAGACTGTTTTTAGAGTAGTTTCCAAGAAAGATAGGCGTAATCTCTCTGCTTTTCCACCAGGAAGAGTTTCATTGCCTCAGACACAGTGGGAGTGAGGAAACAGAGCTGGGGACCCTTGCTGTATGACTCTTGACCTAGGAGTGGCCATGTCTTGTTTCCCAGTTGCCTATCTAGATCCCTGATGAAGCAGAAGGAACTCTGATTACAGGTAAGATTTGTGCTGGACAACCCAAATGTGGTATGTGATGGAACCGGGTTATATTATCACATTTTTTAAAAGACTTATTTTTTTAAAATTCATTTGACAGAGTTACAGAGAGAGAAGGAGAAACACACAGAGATATCGTGCAACTTCTAGTTTATTCCTCAAATAGCAGCAACAGCTAGAGCTGGGCCAGGCTGAAGCCAGGAGCTGGGAGCTTCATCTATTTCTCTTACATGGGTGCAGAGGCCCAAATCCACCGCTGCTTCCTTAGGCCATAGCAGAGAGCTAGATCAGAGTGGAGCAACCAGGACGTGAACCGGCACCCGTATAGGATGATGGCATTGCAGGTGGTGGCTTAACCTGCTACTCATAACGCTGGCCCATGTTACCACATTTAATACAATTTTAAGAATGGAACTGACAAGAATTCTGTTTTGTCCACTTAGGCCTTGATGCCAACAAGATAATTGACAAGAGTTTATAAATGGTATTCTTTAAGGCTAATTGAAGACATTTATGTTTCTCCAGTGATCCATTTCGTGCCTTTCTACTTTGATCACTTTTAAACAAAAGTCTATGTTTGGGAAGGGGTTTTGTCTGGAACCTCAGAGATACCACCTCAATGTAACAACAGGGATTATTCCACCTTCCTCCCTTGAAATAACTCTGCTTGATGTCCTAGAGATTGACTTCCCAATGCTAGTGATTGCCTTTTCTCATGAATGTCCACTCATGTAATTCTCCAGGATCCTACCTTTCTTTTTTTTTAACTTTTATTTAATGAATATAAATTTCCAAAGTACAGCTTATGGATTACAGTGGCTCCCCCCCATAACTTCCCTCCCACCTGCAACCCTCCCCTTTCCCGTACCCTCTCCCCTTCTATTCACATCAAGACTCATTTTCAATTATCTTTACATACAGAAGATCAGTTTAGTATATATTAAGTAAAGATTTCAACAGTTTGCACCTACATAGAAACACAAAGTGAAAAATACTGTTTGAGTACTAGTTATAGCATTAAATCACAATGTACAGCACATTAAGGAAAGAGATCCCACATGAGGAGTAAGTGCACAGCGACTCCTGTTTTTGACTTTACCAATTGACACTCTTATTTATGGCATCAGTAATCTCCCTATGCTCTAGTCATGAGTTTCCAAGGCTATGGAAGCCTTTTGAGTTCACCAACTCTTATCTTATTTAGAAAAGGTCATAATCAAAGTGGAAGTTCTCTCCTCCCTTCAGAGAAAGGTACCTCCTTCTTTGATGGCCTATTCTTTCCACTGGGATCTCACTCACGGAGGTCTTCCATTTATGTCATTTTTTTTTTTTTTTGCCAGAGTGTTTTGGCTTTCCATGCCTGAAATACTCTCATGGGCTTTTCAGCTGGATCCGAATGCCTTTAGGGCTGATTCTGAGGCCAGAGTGCTGTTTAGGTCATCCACCATTCTATGAGTCTGCTCTGTAACCCACTTCCCATGTTGGATCGTTCTCTCCCTTTTTTATTCTATCAGCTAGTATTTGCAGACACTAGTCTTGATTATGTGATCTCTTTGATTCTTAGTCCTATCATTATGATCAATTGTGAACGGAAATTAATCACATGGACTAGTGAGATGGCATTGGTACATGCCACCTCGATGGGATTGAATTGGAATCCCCTGGTATGTTTCTAACTCTACCATTTGGGGCAAGTCAGCTTGAGCATGTCCCAAATTGTACATCCCTTCCCTCTCTTATTCCCACTCTTATATTTAACAGGGATCACTTTTCAGTTAAGTTTCAACCCTTAAGAATAACTGTGTATTAATTACAGAATTAAACCAATAGTATTAAGTAGAACAGAGAAAAAAATACTAAGAGGGATAACGTATTTAGTTGTTCATCAACAGTCAGGGCAATGGCTGATCAAGTCACCGTTTCTCATAGTGTCCATTTCACTTCAACAGGTTTCCCCTTTGGTGCTCAGTCAGTTGTCACTGATCAGGGAGAACATATGATATTTGTCCCTTTGGAACTGGCTTATTTCACTCAGCATGATGTGTTCCAGATTCCTCCATTTTGTTGCAAATGACTGGATTTCGTTGTTTCTTACTGCTGTATAGTATTCTATAGAGTACATATCCCATAATTTCTTTATCTAGTCTACTTTTGATGGGCATTTAGGTTGATTCCAGGTCTTAGCTATTGTGAATTGAGCTGCAATAAACATTAGGGTGAAGACCGCTTTTTTTTTGCCAATTTAATTTCCTTTGGGTAAATTCCAAGGAGTGGGATGGCTGGGTTGAATGGTAGGGTTACCTTCAGGTTTCTGAGGAATCTCCAGACTGACTTCCATAGTGGCTTGACCAGTTTGCATTCCCACCAACAGTGGGTTAGTGTCCCTTTTTCCCCGCATCCTCTCCAGCATCTGTTGTTGGTAGATTTCTGAATGTGAGCCATTCTCACCGGGGTTGGATTGATTTCTGGTGTTTCCATTCCGTTCCGTTGGTCTATCCATCTGTTTCTGTACCAGTACCATGCTGTTTTGATTACAACTGCCCTGTAGTATGTCCTGAAATCTGGTATTGTGATGCCTCCAGCTTTGTTTTTGTTGTACAAGATTGCTTTAGCTATTCGAGGTCTCCTGCATCTCCATATTAATTTCAGCATCATTTTTTCTAGATCTGAGAAGAATGTCTTTGGTATCTTGATTGGCATCGCATTGAATCTATAAATTGCTTTTGGGAGAATGGATATTTAGAATATATTGATCCTTCCAATCCATGAGCATGGAAGATTTTTCCATTTTTTTGGTATCCTCTTCTACTTCTTTCTTTAAGATTTTGCAATTCTCATCATAGAGATCTTTAACGTCCTTGGTTAAGTTTATTCCAAGGTATTTGATTGTTTTTGTAGCTATTGTGAATGGGATTGATCTTAGAAGTTCTTTCTCAGCTGTGGCATTGCTTGTGTATACAAAGGCTGTTGATTTTTGTGTATTGATTTTATATCCTGCCATTTTTCCAAACTCTTCTATGAGTTCCAATAGTCTCTTAGTAGAGTTCTTTGGATCCCCTAAATAAAGAATCATATTGTCTGCAAAGAGGGATAGTTTGACTTCTTCCTTCTCAATTTGTATTCCTTTAATTTCTTTTCTTGCCTGATGGCTCTGGCTAAAACTTCCAGAACTATGTTAAATAGCAGTGGTAAGAGTGGGCATCCTTGTGTGGTGCCAGATCTCAGTGGAAATGCTTCCAACTTTTCCCCATTCAATAGGATGCTGGCTGTGGGTTTTTCATAAATTGCTTTGATTATATTGAGGAATGTTCTTTCTATACCCAACTTGCTTAGAGTTTTCATCATGAAAGGGTGTTGTATTTTATCGGATGCTTTCTCTGCATCTATTGAGATAATCATATGGTTTTTCTTCTGCAGTTTGTTAATGTGGTGTATCACATTGATTGTTTTGCAAACATTGAACCATCCCTACATACCAGGGATAAAACCCACTTGGTCTGGGTGGATGATCTTTCTGATGTGTTGTTGCATTCTATTGGCATGAATTTTATTGAGGATTTTTGCATCTATGTTCATCAGGAAGATTGGTCTGTAATTCTCTTTCAATGCTGCATCTTTCTCTGGTTTAGGGATTAAGGTGATGCTGGCTTCATAGAAAGAATTTGGGAGGATTCCATCTTTTTCAATTGTTCTGAATAGTTTGAGAAGAAATGGAATTAGTTCTTCTTTAAATCTCTGGTAGAATTCAGTGGTGAATCCATCTGGTCCTGGGCTTTTTTTTTTTTTTTTTTGGGAGGGCCTTTATTACTGTTTCAATTTCTGTCTCAGTTATGGGTCTATTTAGGTTTTCTATGTCTTCATGGTTCAGTTTAGGTAGGTTGCATGTGTCCAGGAATCTATCCATTTCTGATAGATTTTCCTGTTTGCTGGCATACAACTCTTTGTAGTAATTTCTGATGATTCTTTTAATTTCTGTGGTGTCTGTTGTTACATTTCCTTTTTCATCTCTAATTTTATTGATTTGGGTCTTTTCTCTTCCTTTTTTAGTTAGTTGGGCCAATGGGGTGTCAATTTTGTTTATTTTTTCAAAAAACCAGCTCTTCGCTTGGCTGATTTTTTTGTAATTTTTTTTTTGGATTCAATCCTGTTGATTTCTTCTCTGACTTTAATAATTTCTCTTCTCCTATTAGATTTGGGTCTGGTTTGCTGCAATTTTTCTAGGTCCTTGAGATGCGCTGAAAGCTCATTTATTTGGTACCTTTCCGATTTCTTGATGTAGGCACCTATTGCTATAAACTTGCCTCTCAATACTGCTTTTGCCGTATCCCATAAGTTTTGATATGTTGTGCTGTTATCCTCATTTACTTCCAGAAAGTTTTTGATTTCTCTTTTGATTTCTTCTATGACCCAGTGTTCATTCAGGAGCATACTGTTCAGTCTCCATGTGTTTGCATACTCTCTAGGGTTTCCTGAGTTGCTGATTTCCAAGTTCATTCCGCTGTGGTCTGAGAAGCTGCATGGTATGATTCTAATTCTTTTAAATTTGCTGAGACTTGCTTTATGGCCTAGTATGTGGTCAATCCTAGAGAAGGTTCCATGCACTGCTGAGAAGAACGTAAAGTCTT